GGTCTTTGTTTTACCCATAAACAAATCATACAGTAAATGAATAAAGGTAAGATACACACATAATTACCACGTGTCAATCACTTTTTCTGCGGGACTCGTGAATAGGCAGTGATCTGTATCGTTATAATGGCGTCGGTAAAAAAGACGCACAACCAACAGGAACCAGCCAACAGTATCTGAGGTGTTCGCTAAAATCACTAAGTACAAGTGAGTGAAAGATTGAAGCAGTCTACTGATCCTCTTGACTGCCTGAACCCGCTGTCTCGAGCCCAGGGATGTGTGTGTGCGTCTGTGTCTGTGTGTGTGTGTCAGAGGTAGAGAGGAAGGAGGGCTGCTCAGAAATGCTACACGCCACTGTGGATGTCAAATCGTTGTCGTTCTAAAATGCCATTTAAAAACAAAGACAGTGTAAACAGGGCCTGAGTGTGTACTTTTCGCGAGCGGATTTGCAACTGGGGCGGGCGGAGCATCGCGATGCCGGTGTTGTCTATCGGACGAACCCTAATACGTACATAGCAGAGCTTGCAAAACTGTGTTTTTTTTTTTTTTGTCGACAACACGAACGTTGTCAACATAATTCACTGGAAATCCAAAATGCCTACACACCGGCGACTTCATTGAAAGAGGAGAGGATTTAAGCTCTGTCGATGGGTCTCCTGCTTCTGCAGTTTAACAAGCACTTCTACAAGCCTGTTTTTTCCCGCTTGGCAAGCCAAGCTGACGTGACATGGGGGCGTGGCAGCGTCAACGATTCTATTTTTTGATTCGATAATCGAAATTGAGCATAAATTTCGATCCATTTCGATTAAAAATCGAAATCGTGACACCCCTAGTATTGATGTAAGTATTTGCAGCCTCACAAAAATGCATGCTGAAGCACGTAATTCCAATGAGCCCAATTATCATATGGCTAAAGGATGAGGAAATTCAGTCAAGCTACTGCTTGATTCCAAGAGTTACTCTTAGTCCGGGATCTCAAGAAGTCTAATGATGACATGCTGGGATTTTCTATAAACTCGCAAGTTGTAACATCATAACTAGGCTAAGTTGTAACTTGTAAGCGTCTGCATCTGACATCTGCTCCTTTGTGCTTCATCTAAGCATGTAGGTCACAGTGTTACAGTAGACTGAATCATTTGCTTACATTGGGAATGAAAGGAGATGTTAAGAGCAAGTGTTTTTAGAGGAAATACACCTGGAGCAACTACTGTAAGTGCTCCAGGACAAACTGATAGGTCATAACTTGCTTCCCACTTAGTCCTTGTGCGAACCAACAACCGTCCCATTACGAGACCTGAGCTTTGACTGCTGCTCCAATGACTCGATGCTAGTAAGTCTGCTATGTGTGTAAATGCCGTGGAGTGTTTTGGAGTGCCGTCAGGTTAGTGGGGCAGTGTGTGCGTGTAGGTGGAGAGCCAGTGTGTAGATATGTGATGCGTAGGTGCAAATATCCAGAGATCTATTTCAGGAGGACATGGAACAGCTTCGAAAGCATTGCTGAGTCTGAATCAGAACTATTCGCCTTCACTCCCAAGTCTTGTTAAGGCAAGTCATTTCACTCGGCGGCCATCTTTGAAACACCTCTCGGGAAGTACGCTTGGACTTGGGCATGAGGAAACCTCGATCTCTCCAAAATTGTTTGCAAACCCTGCTGAAAAAAAACAGCTAAAACCAGCCAACCAGGCTTTTTCAGTAGGGAAGCTCACGATTATTTACGTTTCATATTAGGGATGATCAATAAAACTAAACAATGGTCTCTTTAATTTAATTTCTAAACGTTTGAATCACACAAGAAACTCAAGTCTTGTCCGAGCCCCTCCCCTGAAGAATCTTCAGTCTGTATCGATCAATGAATGGCTCCTGTACTAGGAGGCAGGGCTTCATCTGCCATACTGACCGTTACACTTTTCCCCTTTCAAAACTACACGAGTAACATGTCTTATGTATTCTATAGTCCTTGTCACTAGTCGGACTCCAGGTGCATGCTGAAATGACCACTCGGCAAACCGTTTGTGCTCATAAGCATTGTGTAGTGCATATATCTCCTGAATTTCTGTCATCTTAATATAGAAACTGCATTCAGTTTGGTCAAAACTCCATTTCTCTCTGCCTTCTGTTTCTATATTTGTCTCGAGCCTTGTGGTGATTGTCCTCTCTAGAGGCACAGTGGAAATCGTGATGTATTTTCCCTGGATTCAAAACATGTGGTTCCCTTCTGGCTGCCTTTCACTTCAGAAACACCCAGCTGCTGGTTCCCGAAAGATGGATGGTTTTTCAGGCTTTAAGGTTGTTGCACACTGAATCTGAAATATATATATATATATATATATATATATATATATATATATATATATATATATATATATATATATATATATATATCTTAGTGAACTATTTATTCTCTCATGTTTTGACGATTGTTGCTGTTTACTTTATTGTGGAGTATGAACCTACGTCACCCTTGTCCATTATTGGATCTATTCCTAGTCTGTGTTGAAAATAAATACACAAAGTACTAAAGAGTTATTAAATTCGCATTCTCATGATTCAGTGGTTCTTGCGTTTTGAGGACTAAACATTCTGCGATCTCAGCTCGGTCTTACTTTGCTGTCAGGCAAGCCTGAACAAATGGGGTATGCCACAACTATTTAAACTTAGACTTGACTGTGCAAGAGAAATGTTTGTGTTGCTGTCCTGCTGAAAGGCTCATGCAACCCTGAACTAAATTTTCTGAGATTTTAACAGATTTGTGTGTGTTGAACATCAATTAAGACAACATTAGCATCTGTTAGCTTTAATTGTAGGGAATAACTTGCACATTTCGAGCTTTTTCCTTTATTTTCATCTTGAAAGCCAGTGTTGGGCAAGCTACTTGAAAAATGTAGTGAGCTAAGCTATTAGCAACTCTACTTCAAATGTAGCTTAACTACACTTAAAGCTATCTTTTTGGAAATGTAACGAGCCAAGCTAAAAGCTACTTGGCAAAAGTAGCTAAACTACATCTAAGCTATTTTTGTAATTTTTATTTTTAAATCAAAGCTACTCAAATCCAAGTCAATCATATCTTAGTGATCATAAAACTGTCATAAGGCAGAATAGTTCAGTTCAATTATTTATTGTAAATAATAAGCTGTACTAAACAGAAACAAATTATAGTATACACAGCACAGTATATATATATATATATATATATATATATATATATATATATATATATATATATATATATATATATATATGTGTGTGTGTGTGTGTGTGTGTGTGTGTGTGTGTGTGTGTGTGTGTGTGTGTGTGTGTGTGTGTTAAACAGAGCTAGGGAATTTTCACAGTATGTCTGATAATATTTTTTCTTATGGGAAAAAGTCTTACTTATTCTTATTAAAAGTCTTGTTTTACTTCGGCTAGAATAAAAACAGTTATTAATTTTGATAAAAACATTTTTGGGACAAAACTATTAGCCCCTTTAAGCTAATTTTTTTCCCGATAGTCTACAGAACGAACCATCGTTATACAATAACTTGCCTAATTACCCTAACCTGCCTAGTTCACCTAACTAACCCAGTTGAGCCTTTAAATGTCACTTTAAGCTATATAAAAGTGTCTTGTAAAATATTATTTACTGTCATTATGGCAAAGATAAAATAAATCAGTTATTAGAAATAAGTTATTGAAACTTTTCTACTTAGAAATGTGCTGAAACAATCTTCCCTCCATTAAACAGAAATTAGGGAAAAAAATAAACTGGCGCTAATAATTCAGGGGGGCTAATAATTCTGACTTCAACTGTGTGTGTGTGTGTATACACACACACACACACACACACACACACACACACACACACACACACACACACACACACACACACACACACACACACACACACAATTAAAATGTATATAGATATTTACAACTCTCCATTAATGAATTTCACTACAAAATGTAGTATCATTATTAACTATCCTGAACTAATAGTAATTACAATAGCATACTTTAGTCTTTACTCCTCTCCCTCAGTCATCTTTCAATCAAGCAATTTTCTCATATCAACCCAATGATTGTTTGGCAACATCAACATCTGAGTGGATTCTTGAACATTGGCCATTGTGTTCACATGCTTAATAGATATGACAGTGATTGGCTATAATGATCATCGGTTTACAAGACACTTGAGTCTTTGAAATTCACGTCTATCAGCTGATCCGTCAGCGGATTAAAGTTGCATTCAAACCCTGATAGACACGACTTTCAAACACTCCAGTCAGACTTTTTTGTCACTTTAAAGTAGATGTGTGTGTCGTGTAGAAATATGCGGTGTTGTCGTTGAGTATCGCAATAACAATATTTCATACAATATCACATTTCCCTAGAAAAATGCTGTTTTTATTACATATGTTTTTAAATCTTTTATTTGTTTATTGATATTTCAATTAATAGTTTAAATTTATTTTTCAGATCTATGTAAATGTAATTGTATGTAATTCAGACTAAAAGATGTTTACGTTTAGTCTTTAAATCACTATCAGTAAAGAACTCTCGGTTCCCACCATCAGTGTTTATGGGTTTAGCTTTGGGCCGCTCCAGCCAATAGCAGAACAGCAGCTACTTGTGAGGCCTCATCTGATTGGTCAAGTTTAGATATAAACAACCAATACATAAATAAATGTAATTTGCGATAACAATACTTTCACAATATATTGTGCAGCCCTAGTATAATATAAAATCTTACGTTTCCTCACTTGTTACCTCTGATGTTTTGTCAGAGTCAGTATTGATGCCTGTCACTGACAGATGCCTGTGCTTGTCTCCCTTTTCTCTCCTGTCTTTGCTCTGTCACACACACTACACTTTCTCCTCACAGCTTTCGTCACCCATTTTAGTCACTTTTTTATTATAATTTTTTTTTTGTAATTCCCAGGTAGATTTAACCTGAAAGAAGAGCTGTTTAATGACTTTTTAATAAAGTTGAATATCAAATGACCTCTCCTTTTGTTTTATTATAGGGCTGGAAGGGCTCCCCCTCATGGCAGGTTCAAAGACTATTGTGTTCACCTGCTGCAGAAGGTGAGTCTTCATGATTTGTTTATTTAAAAACATGCAAATACTTGCAAGGTTTTTGCATCACTGGAATGGTTTACAAACTAGAGCTTTGCTGTGACCCTGTCTACTTATAGACTTCAGAGACATGTTTTCATTTCAGTTTTCTCCGAAGGCATTTCAGAGAATTTTTTTTTTTTAATATAGAGTTCAAAGCCTTGAACCAAACCAACAATATTGAACATTTACACAACAAATACTATTGGATTTAAAGTAAATATCTGAAAATCCTGAAGAGAAGATGCCATTAAGATCATAAATGTAATGTACTTTAGTTATATCCGCTGTTTGTGTAATCAAATGTAATTTAGTCTGGGTTTTTATATCATTTATGTGATAATGTTAGTTTATACTACTTTAATAAATGGCCTAATAATAATTATTAGTAGTGGTGTAAAGTAACAAATTACAAATACTCAAACTATTGTAATTGAGTAGTTTTTCTCAGGAATTGTAAATTACCGAGTAGTTCTAATAATGTGTACTTTTACTTTCCCCCTTTTTTGTTTGCTGTACATTTTTAGTGCGATATTGGTACTTTTACTCCACGACTTTCCTTCAACCTGCAGTCACTACTTAATTTTTTTCTTGTCTATGGGGATTAGAAAAATCAGTCCTGGGAGTCCAATCAAACCACACATAGAAGGCAAATGGCATCATAATGAACTACCTCAAGACGATTTTAGCAGCAAACTGTTTGGAAGCATTAAAAGTATCCAAAAGAAGATGTCCAAAATCCTTACACGCAATGACCCAGAGACTGTTTAGATGCATGTCACTGATGAAAAGATGATGTTTCTTTTACTTTATGTTGATCAAAACAACCAGCAGGCAAAAGATGTCAACATGACATCAAATGGATGTTGTACCTCAATGTTGTGGGGACGTTGCATTTTGTTTGGAAAATAAAATCGGGGTGATGTCAGAACTCAACATCAGGCCGACGTCAATGTCTAACATCCAACCTAAAATCAACATCTAATGATGTACAACTTGACGTTGTGTGGACGTTACCACTATGACATCTATCAGACATTAAATTTTGGTTGCCACACCTGATGAATAAATGTCAGTATTTGATGTCAATATGAAACCACATCTGTGGTTCGGTTCATTTGGTCTGGACCAAGGGCAACAAATGACAACAAACAAACAAATGGGTCGTTTTCACACCACACTGATTGCTTTGGTCCGAACCAGTTGAAAAGAACCAAAATGAAGTCATCTGACAAAACCCACATCACTCAATGGCCAGATGTTGTTGAACACATTTCCTAATCTGCTTTTCGATTGGTCAGAATTCACAGGCTGGAAAATTCCGATGGAAATCGCGCAAGTAAACAAACCGGCAGACACAAAATGTCACTTTTGACTACAGAGGGCAACTGCGCTGACTGATTATATCCCTGCGCATAGTACACTATATGGTCTGTACACATCACTTTAGACAAACTTTGCATTTCGAAAATGAAGCGCGGCTGCGGCTGATGTTTTAAGGCATTGCAAACGAAAAAGGCACATCGCTCGTCATTTCAGGAGGGGGCACGGAAATGATACCAATGATCCATCAAGTAATGCCCCCCCACCCTTTCTCTCTCTCTCTCTCTCTGTTGGTAAAGCGCTGTCAACAAATATTTTCCCTCCACATTGCATAATGCACAGCGCATCGGCCTACGGCAGCTGGATTACTCCAAAAAGGCGCAGTAGTTTTTGCGGTTGCATCTGTTTTAGTTCGGATCATATTCTCAACACAAGCAAACCACTCCAGGGTTAGTTTGAAAGCGTACCGAGACCACCTCTTCAAGGAGGTCTTGGTACGCTTTTTTGGTCTGCTTTTGGTGCGCACACGAGTACGATAGCTACATTCACACACCAAACAAACCGCACCAAGATAGCTACATTCACACACCCAAACAAACCGCACCAAGAGGGAAAACAAACTAGTGCGATTCAACCAGACTAAATAATGCAGGTGTGAAAGCACCCTAAGATGTTGGCTCAAGGTTGAATTTTGTTCACTTTCCAAAACAACCTAAAATTAAATGTCAATGTCATTTGACTTGGTTATTAAAAATAACATTGTCCTTAGACAATGACTAGATTTTGAATTTTGGTCACCTGACGTCACGACTTAAATCTAACCTGATATTAACATATGATGTAGTGTGCCTGCTGAGCAATAACTAAATGCACTACAGAAGGTTACGTTTACACACATCCACAAATTACATGTAAATGCATCAGCTTTTTACAGCATAAAACTCAACACTTTTTAAATGTCTATTTTTTTACTCACACTTTGAGTTATATTTAAAACGGATGCTTTTACTCTACCTGCACTACATTTTTAGGCAAGTAATGGTACTTTAAGTATGATTTTTCAGTACTCTTTCCACCACTGATTATTACTAATAACAATTTTCTATTATTAATCTCAGTGTTTTTTTTTTTTTGGCTGTTGGGTCAAACTACTTTTTGAAAATGATCTGCATCAACACAGCTGAGTTTTTTTTCCACTTCTTTTTAGACAGATCAACAGTTCTTTGTTCCAGCTTCATTGTTTCGTTCAATCCACTTAAATTTGTAAAAACAATTAAGTTAACTTAATCGATTAGTGTTTGGACAACATGAAGGAATTGTATTGAACCCTGTCTTTTTTACAGTGCATTTCCCATTCCACCGTATTCTCAGAAGATCATTAAAGGAAAGCAGCAAAACTGGATTTAATTTTGTCAACAATGAAACCTAGCAACTAAACTGCAGAGATGCTTCAGTATGCCATTGTTCTGCAGGTTTACAGATTCTCCATAGAAAATTATTATATGCGGGTTTTCAACACCTGCTTCTGTAAACATTTGCTAAACAGGTTTTATCTTTATATGATGTTGGCAGTCAGAATCATAAACGCTTGATTTTTTTCTCAAACTCATGATAAAATACCTTGTGCTCGGTATGTTTACATACTTGAAAACAAGCCAGTGGATGAGGTTAATTTTACCCAAATATTTTTTAAATATATAATGAAAGCTAAAATGGTTATTGTGCTTCGGTGACATTAGCGCTTTCTGGAATACATGTATTGGACATTTATATGAACATCTGTACAACTTTAAGGTACATATTAACACTTTCAGTTCAAAATTGAGTGCATACTTCATTGCCTCCGGCTTAGTCTCTTTATTCATGAGGCTTCACCACAGTGGATTGAAACGGCAACTTATCCAGCATATGTTTTACACAGCGGATGCCCTTCCAGCTGCAACCCAGTACTGGGAAACATCCCTACACACTAATTTACGCACATACACTATGGCCAATTTAGTTCATTCCATTCCCTTATAGCGCATGTTTGGACTGTGCTGTGGAGGAAACTGGAGCACCTGGAGGAAACCCACACCAACACAGGGAGAACATGCAAGCTCCACACAGAAATGCCAGCTGATCCAGCCAGGACTTGAACCAGCGACCTCCTTGCTGGCAAATCAAAACCCAAAACTACATGGCCCTGTGTGGAAAACACCTGTATTTTAAGTGATAACACACCTGAGATCAATTTCTCTAGCCACACCCAGGCCTGATTGCTTCCACACCTGTTTGCAATCAAGAAATCACTCAAATAGGACTTGCCTGATGACGTGAGGTAGACCAAAAGGTCCTCAAAAGCTTAGTTATCATGCTGAGATCCAAATAAATTCCAAAACAAACAAAGGAATTGATTGCGATCATCTATAAGTAGAGGTAGAAGTACTTTGTAGACAAAGTTTTTATACTTCATTTTCTTATTAAATCTTGACCAATCAAACGCTCTCTAGTATCTGACATGCCCTGCCCCCTTTTCATTTGATGCGCTTGAGCTTAACCACTCTCCCTGGCAGAGCTGTGATAAACATAAAACACTATTGGCTGCTTTTTAAAAAGGGGAGGAGCTACACTACGTCCCGTCCTCTTTTCGTTTTTCCAGTTGAGATTACGTCAAACATTGAATAAAAAAATGCACACTCATGAGACCTGTAAGGCAATCCCAGCATAGCTCCTCCAAGGCATTGCTTGCAAGGGTTTGTGGGAAATGCAGTTTTGTTGTCACATCTACCCTTTATAATGCAGTATAGTAGCTGTGACTGGATGGTTGATGGGGGTCAGTCTGTGTGAAGAGAGCAATGAATCTCTGTGACACGAAGACAAATTATACCCGGAAGGTCAGCAGAGGTGGAGACAACGAAAGGAGTATGAATGCAGTCTGTCAGCTCAGAGGGAGAGAGAGAGAGAGAGAGAAAGAGAGACAGAGAGACAGAGTGATTTACTTTACCATGGATTTTAATAGCAGATCCTTTACAACAGCTGGATCATGACACGCTGCAGCAGAAACAACAAACCCTGAACCCTTTCCAATAACTGATTTCTTTTATCTTTGCCATGATGACAGTACAAAATATTTGATTAGATATTTATTAAGATACTACTATTTACTGGGTGAAAATTAAGGCCCTTAAAATGTATAAAACGTTTTAATCACGTTTGTACAAGGTCTTAAATTTTGTTCAATTATAATTATTTCTCAAGCTTGGTTTCTTATCTGAGTATTGTTGCACGACTGTGCTCCATTGATTTATTTAACTACAACTGTTTATTAAGTTAACGGTTTGATACTGATTAGAACTTAAAATGGCGATGAGGTTTTTTTTTTTTAAATAATACAACAAAATAGTCTGAGAAGGTCTTTAAAAAGTCTTAAAGTATTGAAATTACCTTAAGGATACCTGCAAATATCCTGATTCAGCTTAAAAGTGATATTTAGGCCACATTTACACTGCACTGTTCAAGTGACTCAATTGCGAATTTAGTTTTTTTTTTTTTTTTTCCCATGTGGCACAGATCGGATTTGGCCCATGTACGTGTAAGCAGGAACATATTACATGGATTCCGATTTACTCAAATCAGATTCAGGCCTTGTTCATATGTGCTAATTT